TTATGTCAACAAATAAAAACGAAAAGATCTATTTTTTTATGGCACCAGTTACGTCAGAAAAGTTGGCTGACTTCAAGAAAAAATTGACTAAAGATGTTACAGATAGACTGCTCTCAAGAGAACAGTGCATATTGTGTGGGAGTTTCAAACATGTGTGGCCTGTCGGTTGGTAGAGTTTGTGGTTCTTTTCGTTGACTTTCAGCCAATGAATAAATTATCGCTTGATGATTAACAGCAATGGACTATTTTTGGAGGGGGTATTTCAAGACCAGGACAAAATACAAGTGGTAAAAAAGATGGCGCTTCAAAATTTAAAACAACAAATAAACATGTAACTATTTCTCTTATGCCAGAAAAAAAGATTTTCGAAACGCCATTAACAGTAAGGCAGACTGACAACCAGTTAGAAACTGTTGTTTGCCTTGGAATTTAGATTTTTCAAGAAAAAAAATTTCTTATTTTCATTCAGAAAAATATGTATAAATGCTGATCCCCTGTGTAACAACATTTAAAGCTGCCTTGGCGTTATTTACAGAAAGGTGGTATGCTCGAGCGCTCGCTCGCTCACTCACTTACAAGTCAATGATCGTCGATTACCAGTGACAAGACATTTTTGTTTAAATTTCTGGCGATAAAAGAGTGCGGGGTATATATTCTTACCTTTCCTAAGGGCATTAGTGCTAAGTGACCATAAGCAACCTCGGCGGAATGGTGGAGTAATGGACGGTGGCTTGGATTGAGGAGTGGAATTTGTATTCCAGTTAAGTTCATTGCATTCCCTTGCGCGCTAATACAATTGAGAAAGGCATGAAAACATCTCTTCCCTACCAAGCTTTGTATAAATAGCAGGACATATAGCCATATTAGCAGCTAGTCTCAGAGAAAGAAAACCCTGAATTCAAACAACCTCTTTTCCGTGAGAAGAAGGACATGGTAACCTAAACATCCTCAGTGCGAAATCAGGAAGAGGCAGCTGAAATTTCTGGTACACGTAATGAGGAAGGAAGACTTGGAAAATCTAATACTCACAGGGTGGATAGAAAGACAGTGCAACAGGGGAAAGCAATACGTGACATACTTAATGGGCATGAGCAAGTGAATGGTGGAATAAGGTCTGGAAGAAACAAGAAAAAGACAAAACTTATTAAGATCTACAAGGGACAGGAGGAGGTGGAGGGCCATGATCGACTACGTCTTGAAGGAACACGGCACATAAAAAAAAAGAATCATTAAAATACTGATTTTAGTAAGTGGATCTCATCGGAAGCTTTTCAGTAGCTTCATTGTACGATCTTTCATGCCAACCCTTTTTGTTGCTTCTTGTCCCACTTTTATTAATCATTATAATTTTGTTTGTTGCTTCGTCAGTTAACACGTACGTTACACTTTGCCAATACCTTATAAATAAGGGACTATTTCATTTTGATCGCGAGGAAAACCATATCAAAGTCGAGAGAGAGAGAGAGAAGGGGGGTTAAAAGTGGTTGATACTGCTTGTTTCTGCAAATTATGAAATAGAAAAATCAGAAAAGAGGTGCTGAAAAATTCTCGACTCAAAATGAAAACAATGTCCCAGAGTTCTAAAACATACATTTTGTTCTATATATTCACCCCGTTGTACAATACCTTTTTCTTTCAACGAATTATTTAATCGACACAGCAACATGGCGATCTTTATTTCAAAATAAACATCTTCATGCACAGCAAGTTAGAACAATATTATGCATTGACTGTTTTGCTGATGTCATTGAAGACAAGAGTTACGGTTCAAGTATTCTGAAGTTTTTTTTTTAGTATTTGCTGGATACAAATGCGTTCACAGAAAACAAATGTTGCCCAATCCACACTAAGAATAGTTCATTACAAACTTTCCTTACATTATAACATTTGGTAAATAAAGAACAAAAGGCCTAATTATTCTGTGTGTGTGTGTGTGTTTGTGTTTCTCTTGCTTTCTGTCTGGGGTAAAGAGCTGTCATTACTTACATGCAGATAATAGCCTAGTGGGTTAAAGCGTTGATTCGTGAATTTGGTGACATAGTAATTGTGGGTTCAATCCCTAGTTTACTTGGAAACAGAGACAGAGCAGTACTAAATTAAAAATAAAATAATATCCCTAGGCATGATCAGCGGAATGAGAACAATTTCTCCCCTCCCGTAAATTAAAGGGTTCAGTTCGAAATTCCCTGATGGTTGCACAGGTCAACACTCACCTGATGAAGGCTAGAAGGTACAGCGGTCGAAACGTTGTGATAATGACAAATTACGCATGGAAATATTGACCCTTACTCCGTGATTGAAGCCTCAGCTTTATGAGGAACATGCAGTTGAAGTAACCGGAAAGGAAGTGCCTCTAAATTATTATAAAAGAAGAACTGATTCACTGTCCGTCACACATTGTCTGCATGTGACTTTCAGACGCGTACGCCTATGTTGTGTGTGTGTGTGTGTGATTTACATATACTTGTGCAATTCAATGCACACACATTAGCGAGAGTGAATCTCCCTTTCTCTGTGGCAACAAGAAAAGAGCCAACCCTTTGAAGTCATTTTTATGAAGGTGCCTCCAAAGAAACGCGATACCTAAGGTTTAAAAATATTTTTTAAATATGAAAACTATTTCTTGAAGCTTTTATTTTAGTTTTAATTTCAAGCTAATAGATTAAATTTAATATTTTGTATAAGCAAAATACTTTGCAGTATTTAAAAAAAATGAAATTAAATTGATTGGAAAGTTTGTTTTTTTAAATCGCTGATTTCAGCGCCATTTTTAGCTATCTTTCATCACAATGTAATTCTCTTTATTAAAAAGCTTTTCAAAAAGTAAAATATATTTTTCTGAAACTTTATTTGAGGAATATTAGCTGATTTAAAGTTGACTTAATCTGATTTGAAACAGGTATTATTTACTTTTAATTTAAAATGTCGCAGAAATGCATTTTTAACATGGAAGTAGGTGTTTATTTAAAGTGTTGACAACTTGACTGACAGCCGGAAGTTTAATCTTTTTCTATGTTGGGACATATCTGTAAAAATGACTTGAGGAATATAACATGAGCGCCTTTTTTATATAATTTTTTGACTACGCAATAATCTTAAAAATTTAGGAAAATATTCTCAGTAATCTAATGTTTTATCGAATTTTTGGTACTTAGACTTTAAATTTACTATAGTTATCACTCTTATTTTCTATTAAAAAAATCATTTCATTCATTTGCGAATAAGTCCTGAAAATTTGATTAAAAACTATTTAATTATTTTTATCTTGATTTTTGCAAGAATTTTCAAACCAATGTGATTTTTCACCGAAAAAAAGATTTTTAACCAAAATTTCGAACGTTCTAAAAAAGGTAAAAAAATATAATTTAATAATGAAAAATTCTTTGGTCTTTCCTCTTAATAATAACAAAAATTTTGATGATAAAACTTTGTTTTTATTAAGTTTGGGGTCTTTTTCAAACATGTTATGCTCATTTTATGACTCCTGTATTTAGACTGAATATATTTTCTAATAAATGTAGTATTTTAAATGAACAATTTTAGACTTGAAATTTGATCATGATGCCGTCAGCGAAGTGACAGGTACCGAATTAGTCACTATAAAAACCTAATGTATTTAAACTTTTAAGACCAAATAATTTAAAATCTAAATGTCAATCCTAACATAGAAAGAAGTCTGTTAAAATATGGGGAAAAAAAGCAATCAAAACTCAACTTTGTACAAGTATTTTTCTACGAAATAATTTAGTTTTGCTGTAATTCTAACCTAAATGAAAATTGAATCATTTTTATTAACTTTAACATTTTGGGCGTTATATACATCTTAAAGTCATTTTAAAAAACACATGCTTACATTTTGTTTTTATGGACGATTTGAAAAAAAATGGGGAATTATTGTAACTATTTCCACAAATTTTATTAATCGCTTGAGACAAAATGCTTATTAACTTGAAAAGTGGAACCAGCGAGCCGAGTTCAATTTCCAGGCCTCATGTGTTGTGTTCACTTCATTGGAAAAGCAGAAACCCATTTTCCCCACCACAGTTACGTGGTTAAATAGAAGGATAAAGTGGGCCCTCTAACTTTGTGTGGGAGTCAGTTTAGAAGAAGGAAAATTCTGAATTGAAAAGCGTGGAAAAGGAAGGAAGGAATCCATCCCATCCATCCATCCCTCCATCCATCCCTCCCTACCAATTTTATCAACCCCCAAATATGACTGTGAATGCAGGATAATTTCCCGACAGATGAAGAATAGATTTGAGGCAACAGAGATGTTCTACAGAAAGATGCAGAAAATACCATAGATGGAACATGTGAGTAATAAAAAAGTTTTAAGGAAAATGGTTACGAAAGGGACAAGTTTGCTTAAAATCAGAAAAAGACAGTTGAAATTTCTTAGACACAATGAGGAAAGAGAGCTTGGAGAATTTGACATGCAGAGGGCATACTGAAAGCAAAGTGGGACAGAGGAGAAAGACCAAGGAACCTACCTGACGAGCTTGCGTAAATGGGTTTAGAATATACAAAGAGAGAGATAGTAAGGGGGGTCATGTATTGTTTAGTACTACAAGGGATAGGAAGTCGTACATCCCCCACGCCCTGAACGGATATGGTAATTAAAAATCGTCTTCAGTCAGTTATGTGCCATGCGTGATAGACGCTTAGGCAATAATGTATCTTTCGATACATAACTGACGAGGCAGATTTTTTTCCCGCAGTAAGTTGCTATTTCTTTCTGTGGTAGACCAGTTGCCATCCAACACCGTCTGTCCTACTATTTACCCATAGCTAGGAGAGGAGAAGAAAGGATTCATACCTTTCCCAAGGGTATTAGCACATAAGTGAATGTAAAGGATTCGACTGGAATTCGAACTCGGCTCTCCGATTCCTCCGAATTAATAGCGTAAAGCAGTGTTCGTCTGTACTTCATCTCTGAATCTTAAACCCAGTGTTTTTATCAAATGAGCCACGGAATTCATGTGGTCCAGTCTGATCCCTACCCTAACCCCGAAGTGGTTGGGTGAAAGAGAGAGGCGCAAGTGTTTAAGCAGACACTGCCAGTCGCCAAGCAAGTAGTTGTCGCCACACAGCTGTCTTCTTTTCGGGTGGTCTGTCTCCATTTGCAAAACTTCGCAGACTTTGAGTCGAGTCACTTGGACAAAGAGACTTAGAAAAGGAACGGCGCTGAAACAGCACCGAATTCATAAATGGTCAGCCCAACCCCGTACCCCTACACACACACGTATGTGTGTGCGCGCGTTAACAGATCATGGTTATAATGTATCTGCATTAAAAAAATTAAATAAAAGCTTTTTAGCGACAGAAAGTGTAAAGAGTACTATTATCTCCCTATATACAGTGTAACCCGGATATAAGAGACCCTGATATAAGAGAAACCCGGATATAAGAGATTTTCTCTGGTCCCAAAGTGTTCCCATACTTACCTAAACAAAATAGACCAAACCTGGATATAAGAGAAACCCGGATATAAGAGACTTCTTCTCCGGTCCCGACAACTCTCTTATATCCGGGTTACACTGTATATGCTAGCACTAGCAGTATAACCAGTCTTCGAGAATTACTGAGAATTTTTGCAGTTCAGTTGGAGCAGTTTAAGTTTAAAGTCAGCCCACCCGAAAATCAATATTAGTAAAAACAATTGGGTGCAACTGAAGCACATCTCCAAATGGAAGTGGGGGATTGAAAAGGGACATTTTTGCGTTTTGCAAGGAAGGAACCTCTTCCATGGACCGTCATAATAATAATATACGATAATTGTTATTTATAATATTTTTTTTTCATAATTCTAATAATCTTTTACGTTATATTTCAATTCTCTAAATTGGTTGTACGTTGTCTTTTTTACAGACATTAATTTTTGCGCAAAGTGTAAAAAAAAAAAAGAAGTTTTTTCGCTATTTCACCTTCAAGGTTGTAATTTTTTTCAAACAATTTGGACTCAAAACCGGTACTGAAGAACTCTACGAAACAAAAATAAATTTCATCGAAATCGGATGAAACTATGGAAACGCATAAACAATATCCTATCACACACAAACACATTCTGAGAATTATAGATATAGATTACATTTTCAGGTTGTTTTTGCAGATATGTTAATTATAATTAATTATTATTTATAATTATATTAATTAATTATAATATTAATAATAATTATTTATAATTTATATAATTAATATAAATTTAACTGTATAATAATAAATAATATTATTGTAATAATTTAAACTATTTATTTTTATTAAAGTTTTTATAAAAGATATATATCCAAGATTAGATAGTAAATAGTAAAATGTTGCTGAAAGCTATAATGGGCAGGAAGTAGTGGAGAGCCATTGTAACCAACAATTTGGACTCAAAACCGGCACTGAAGAATTATCTAAAAATTTTTTTTTATCGAAATTGGATGAAAACTGTGAAAACGCATAAACAACATCCGATCACACACACACACACACACTTTGAGAATTATAGATATAGATAATTTAAAACACAAAGTATTTTTAAAATAATTATTTAATCGCAACACATAAATGCCATGGCGCTACCATTAGAAGGGAAAATAAGTTTATAAGCATATTGTTTTTGTTTTCAAGCATTAGTAATAATCATTAATGGTTAGACGAATAGGCAAAAGCGCTCGATCACATTTTTTTTTTTATTACATACACTAACTTTTTGGCGTCTGTTCACTCGTTCAGAAAGAAGAAAGGTTAAATAATTTTTGTTTAATTCTTTGCCTTTGTCCTTTAATCAAACATGCGTCAGCGATGGATTATTGTAGAGAGACCATCAAAAATCAAAATGGATACTTTTTCCGCAATGAAAGTAAAAAAAAAAAAAAAAAAAAAAAAAAAATCAACACATCCTGTTTTAAAATATTTGCTAAAAATCAGGAAATTATCTGAATCAAAGGAAATTTCCAGGACTTCATTATTGAATTAATTTGATTTTATTGAACAGGTTATTTTACTAAAAAAAAACTTGGGAAAATATTGTGTGGGTACGTCGTCCCAATTTTCGATAACGGGTTTATCCTTTTTTTTTTTTTAATGGAAGGGAGGGGTCGTCCAAATTTTTTACAGTTGTAAAAAGAAATCCCAGAAAATATTTCAGTAAAAAAAATATGCAATTCAGGACAAAATGTACAAAAAAGGAAATAATTCGCGTTGAGTGACTACTATTGAATATCGGATGATTATGATATTAAATCTCATTTCATATGTCGTTCAGTCAGTATATAAAAAATTATTCATTATAATTAGTTTAATAAAAGCGTATAGAATAAAAAAGTATATCCTTAAACTATTAGTTATATAAGGTTAAAGAAAATTTGGTTTTATACATAAATAACAAGTTCTAGATTATTGCACTGCTGGTCTTCCGTATTTCTTTAGGTTTTATTTTTTTGTACGCTTTTTAGCAACAGGGGAAGAATACTGAGTTTTTATTTTATTTTTTTGACCTTTCAGGCTCTCATACATAAATATGCTTTTATTCTGTTTTAAGTAAAAGGTAAGCATTACTCTTAGAAAACCCAGTTAAATAAAAATTTAGTAACTTTGAAACGCATCTCTAGGATAAATATTGAATTTTGAAGAGGATTTTAAATTTGCTTATACAGTGTAACCCGGATATAAGAGAGTTGTCGGGGCCGGAGAAGAAGTCTCTTATATCCGGGTTTCTCTTATATCCGGGTTTGGTCTATTTTGTTTAGGTAAGTATGGGAACACTTCATATAACGCTTTTTACGTACAGAACACTAGTTTATTTAACAGTTATAGACAAAAAACACAGACAAAAATACATTTTTAATCAGTTTTCAAAATAATTCAATCAAAAATTACTTTTTCTTAAAAAAGTCAGTCATTTTTGATTGTCATGAACACTTTCATACAGTCCGTAAATCATTTTCAATGCGCCATCAGGATTACTGCTTTTTGCTTCAAAGTAGGCTGTCAGAGTTTCAAGCGCATTCAATGCAGCCAGAGAATTTGGCACTGGTTTGTCACTTTCAGAAACTTCAGAACTTACGCTTTCAGCATCATCATCTTCATCAAAATCTTGATCATCCGATTTTATACCACGTGTGATGTCCGTGTCAGTCAGTTCTCCATAACATTGTGTACGGTCGTCGAAGCTGATAAATTCGTCAAAATCTGTTTGCCATGGTTTTGCCGACTTACCAACAACTACAGCTTGCTTTTCACTGCCGTCCATGTTTGTGAACAGAAGCATCGTGAGTCTGTCTTTGGGAACTTTTGTCCCATTTGACTGTTCATCGCCGGCAAATCGCAAAGATCCAGACGGCATGGCTTTGTAGAAAATTCCCGTTTCATCACAGTTCCAAACATCTTTTGGATCATATCCACGAAAAAGTTGCGGCAAAACGTTTGTCACCCATTCGTTGGCAGAACCGTGATCTGCTGACGTTGATTCGCCGTGAAAATTTTTGAACGAAACGTTATTGGCCTGCTTCCAGCGCATGAGCCAGCCATTGCTCGGTTCAAAATCAACTTCAAGATTTACGGCCAGTTATGATGCTTTCTGCCTGATGACGTGATGAATGACGGTAGCTCCATGAACACATGCTTGCGTAAACCATTGTGTAAGCGCTTCGTTAACGTCCTTGTGCACGGATTGGCGCTTTCGTTTGCGATTAGTGTTTCCGTTCATTTGCATGCAAGATCTAAGATCGTCTTCTTTCTTGAGAATTTTTGCTGCTGTTGAATAACCGATTCCGTACTTTTTGGCTGCAGCGGCCAGTTTGAGTTTCTTCACTTTGACATCGTCGATGAGCTCAACTGTTCAGAAATGCTCAGAGTTTTTTCGTTGAGACGCCGACATCACTAATCGCAAGCAAACGGTTTTCAGTGGTAAAATTAACAAACAGACAAACTTCTGACTCAACAGAACAGTGGGTAAAGTGAAAGTGCTGTCCAGTAAATGCAACGACAAGCAAAGTCGGCAAAAAAGCGGGCGGCGCTACCCTTAGACACACAAAGCAAAATCATAAGGTAGAGGGTGTCTCCTACAGATACAGATTGGACACACCGTGTCTCTAGACTAGTCAAGATTAATTCATTGAACTTCACTCTCTCTCAAACTGACCTCTGTTTGACCGATTTACGACATCACACTCTCACTCAAAACGAACTCTCTTATATCGGGGAGGGCCGGACCAGAGAAAATCTCTTATATCCGGGTCTAATTTATATACATTAACACAGGCTCTAATCTGGGACCAGAGAAAATCTCTCTTATATCCGGGTTACACTGTATTTTTCGTATACAGTGGCAGCTCGATGAGTGATTGAGTGACGGTAAAAAGTTCTAACGCTTTAAAAATTACAGTTTTTTTTATATACGGAAATTAATTTTTCTTAATACGGATTAGTTTTAGACTATCATTCAGATAGAACCGAAATTTAAATTCAAAAACGGGATTTAAAATGTGCTTTTGGGTATTTTTTTTTTTTTTTTTTTTCATAGAAAGAACGTGACTGTAATTACTGTGTAAGTATGATTATTATTAGTATATCTAATTTAAGACCAAAAACAAGGATTAAAAGAATTAATCAATCTGTTTTTTACAAGTGGATATCGGCAGGCAGCGGAAACAAAAACTATCTACGAGTTTTCGGTTGTTCCTCTAACACAGTAGTTTTCAACGTTTCTGTAGTGAATTTCTATTGTTATACTCTAAAAAGGAAATATTTAATTTGTAACTATTTTTTTTATTTCTAAAAAGATAGAGATTTTGGTCATTTAGATAGCACAACATAATATAACAGTGTATACACCGTCTCCATGTCACCCGCTTCTGTACCCGACTGACGATCAATGAGACCGCCAGAAATGGGCACCCTTTTATAGGTCTCCTTAAAACGTTATGTCTTTTGTGACATAGCACTATTCAGTATACATTATACAGGAGCAGTGTTAGTGGAAGTGCTCGAAAAAGCGTAGATTGCGCCGTGGATTACCCAAAATTCAGCGCCATATAGAAGAGTGAGTAAAACTGACTTTGTACGCAATCATTTTTAAATCTTTCTCTTGATATGTTTAAAAGACATAAAATGTTTGTATAAAAAATTCGAACTC